TTTTCACCCAGGGACTGCCCCTGAGCCCTGAGCCCTGAGCCCTGCACTCCACCTGGGCTGCCGTAGTCACGGGAACCCCCACCTCTCTTCTTCCTCTTGTCTCTTCCCTGTTCTGTTTGTCTGTCTACCTGCCTCTCCCGTGTCTCCACTCCGATATGGCCTTTTGCTCTTTCACTCTCCCCGTTCCCTAATAAACCTCTTGTATTAACTCCGTTGTTCCTGGTATGTTCTCTTAGTGGCATACCTTGGCAGGGCCTGCCAAAAAGTACCCACTTTGCCTTTTTTACCCCTTAGACTTTCCTGGTGTTTTATCTGATCATGCTGGGATCCTGTCGGCCTGCTCTACCTGCAACAGATCTGCTCTCTTTGCTTGTTTCTGTCTGCCCTCCCACACTAAACTGTGTAAATGTCCTGCCCATCCATTTGTTACAACGTGGGAGTCAGAGCCAGAGAGGCTGTTTCATGCCCAGCACATGCCTGTTCTCCTTTATACCATCCACTGCTCTAACCCTCGATAAGGCATGTGTGGATCATTTGTCTGTAGATTTTATTCCCAGTTCTAGAGTCCAGTTCTTCAACTGCTGCTCCCGCTGCCCTGCATTATCGTGCACGTGGACACATGTGTGCTTGCCTGGCTCCTGCAGCCTTCTGCACCCACGTGGACATCTCCTCTCCTGCTCTCTCCACTCCCCCAGCAGCTGGGAGATCCACAGCTTAAGCTCTAGGCCACTGTATTCCACATGGCTCTGGCTCTGGCTCTTTTGGCCTACTGACCCACATGGACACCTCCCTTTTCTTCTCCCTCCTGGTTTTCTCTTGCCTTGCAGCCAGCCGGACCACCCCCACAGTGTTCCACTTTGATACCCTCTCTCTCCTCCATGGACTCACATTTTGTTTTAACAGTGTGGTCTCAATGCAAATCAATGGCCAAAATTGGCAAACTTGGTTTCTAAATTCTCACAGATTATTAACTGCTACTGCCACAAACAAATGATCTCCAGACACCTTATACCTAAAATTGCTCTGCTACACTTCCAAAGTCCCTTACCTGCTAAGGCTCTACTTCCTTACTCCTAAAAATTTTTCATTCCTATGGTTTCTTTGTATGCTGCTCTATATCTTAAGATCATACTGTAAACTTTTATTTTAGGATTTGAAAGTTGCTATCTGGCATGGTTTAAAATCTATATAATTTGTAACAAAGTCTGTTTCCCACAGAAAGTTTTGTTTGTCTTGCTGTTAGAAAAGTTTTGTCTATTTTGTATGTATGGATGGATGTGTGCCTGTATGTTTTCTTGTGGACATGGGAGCCACACAGAATTACTTCAGGCTCAGTTGGGTGTGTAAATGTGTGTGCCACTGCGTGTTTGTTTCTGACTGGTCTTGGGTGCCTGAGTTTACATTTTCCATGTGTCCTGGCAATAGCTCAGCTGTTACTATTATAACTAGCTGCCTGGGCTCAGAATTTGCTTCTGGTGTTTCTGGCCACTGACTCTGATGTAGTGATAGAAATTCATATGTCATTTGGGTATAAATAAAATTAAAAGTTATTTTATGCTGTTCTACCTTATTTAAAAAACAGCTAAGGAAATTGAGTATGGTTAAAAATTTGTACTTGTAACTTCAAATTGTTCTTGGAAACAACACGTGGTTTGCCATCATCTTAAGTTCAGCCACATGGGCAGTCGCCATTTTGACTGGGTTGGAGAAGAGGGATGTCATGTGACTTTACCACCATCTTGATTAAAAGTGACCACATGGAGTGGGCCTACCAAGGAGACAACAGGTCTCCAAGATATTTTGGATTAGGATGGATTTCTGTGTGATAATTCCTGTCCTGTCCTGAAAACGAGGTTTATGAAAGATAGGATTTAAAACAATGTTGGTTTAATGAGGTCTTAAAGCTGCACCTCCATGCTCTTACCTTTCTGGTGGCCAGATTTTGTAAGGTAAGAGTAATCCACTTGGTATTGATTTTAGAGACACTGAATTGTTTACACGGTTGAAACTTGGATTTTGCCTTCTACAAACTATGGTTGTGCTCTATGTCTTCATTCTTCAAATAAAAAAGTTAGGACCACAGCTGAGCACCAGAGACTGAAGTATTTCTATCTTATGACACAGCAAGACAGTGACCTAAGCACCTGGCTAAGGGTCTCTCTGCCTAAGGTCTATTCAGGCTAACAAAGACTGATTTAGGAATATATGTCTAACCTCCTTGCTTTTACTAACATTGTTAAACTGTAGCTAGTTTGGTAAATTAAGTCATACAGAAAACTGTTGTGGACTGTGTTTATGAGTTCAAAGTCTCATCTTGATATTAAAAGAACTTCAATTCAGAAATTGTTATTTCTTAAGGTGAGACTTAACAGGGATAAAGGTATAAAATCCCAATCTTATAAGACATACAAGTTAATAGACAGTCACCTCATGAAGGATCAAGTTCTTTGGTATGTTCAGATTTAGCTTCTCAGATATGCTTTCAAAGTTAAGCCTAAAACAAGTAACTAGAAACAGGAACGTCTGTCTAGTTTAGATACACTTAACAAATAATGATTCTCAAATGCTTCAGAGATTTGAGAATATGGCATTTAAAATGTTTAATAAAAAGATATTCACGATAGAGACATGCCAGCTCCTAGCAGCACCCCTGTCTCCTCCAAAGAAGATGATGGGCACAGAAGAACCTCAACCTGGAGCTTGCTTTAAATGTAGCAAAGCCAGTGACAGAGCAGAAAAACAGCAACAACAAACAAACACTGCCTTTCACCTCAACTGCTGCCAAGGCCCTGTCCACACTATGAACAAGTAGGACACTGGGGAATTGATTGCTCTGATTTGTCTAGACAAGATAGGCCAGTTTCCCCAAGTTCCTACTCCACAGGAAAGTCTGTCAAATTTTCTGGGCCTGACAGCTAAAGATTGATGCTGCCCTGGGACCTCTGTCCCTAACAACCACAGAGAAATTTGGGGTAACTGTCTAGGTAGCCAGTAAGTCCCTGTTGTATTTGATAGATTTGGAAGCTACTTGGGCTGTACTTTTGCTTACTCAGGTAAACTCTGTCCTTCTAAGAGCTGATAGTGTTTAATGACTAGGCTACTGGTAGCTTTGCCAGCTTAACAGCTTCCCACACTCCAAGGCCACAACCACCTTGGTAGTTCATTAGTTGAATTTCTTGTTAAAAAAAAATACAGACAGATTTGCCTTGTTCACAGGCTTCATGGTAAAGGATAAACGTGTTTCAGATGTAACATTCGACTAAGGGAACACAGAAAATGGTTTAAGAGATATAAATGCAAGTTGTAAAGGTATAAGTAAATGATTTAAGGTATGTAAAGATGTTTCAGACTTCTGTCTTCTTTGTATGGTATTATTACACTGGAATTTTGTAGATTCAGAGTTTCATCATTGATAAATAGAGTTCTGAGGAACTGACAGAGCACTATTTCCTATTCAGTCACAAGCTCAAGATTTTAAATTTCCTCTGGTTGTCTTCTAAGTATAGACTTAAAGGTGTGTTTCATTGAGCTAAAACCAGGCTCTCTACACATAGGGAAAATGTTCATGCCTTTTAACCCAAAGCCATAGTTACAATGAGTAACTCTGCTCCAGCTGTTCTACAGAAACCTGCATGTTCCTGGGGAAAGCGTGCTGCTACTATATCAACAAATCTGGCCTGGTAGAAACTCATATGGAGTCACTCCACAAACCGTCTGAAAAACTTCATCAATACAATCAGGGCACATCTCCGTTCCATTCTTTCTGGCAGTCTTCACTTTCCCCATGGCTAGCCCTATTCACAGGGCCAGTGGTAATACTCTATTTTTTTTCTCCTAGCAACTTGCCTTCTCTACTTCTTTCTGGAATGGAATCCTGAGGTCTCCAGGGTGGCAGTTAACTGGATGCTTCTTCACCCATACCTCCCACTGAGCACAAGCCCACAAACTCTCTACTCCCCCTCTCCACATCCTACAATGCCATCAGAAAGTAGCCAAATTTGAACCAGTGCCCATATACCCAAAAAGGTTAGGATGTTTGGTTCGAACCTCCAGCTCATTCCTGCTTGATATGGAAAGCCCCATTGCTCTCTCTCCAAACCCCGCTCTCTCAGAAAATCTCCAATCAAGGAAAGGTGCCAAAAAGCCCATTTCCTTGGAGGCTGCAGCATCTCCTCCCCTGAAGCTGCCAGCAGCCCAAGTCCCCACCTAAAGCATACCATACTTGGGCACAAACACAGCTTATGGATGATACATTATCACCCCTTGCCTACAGGGTACTGCTTTAGTTTGGGCATATGACTTCTGCCTCTTCTCGAGTCTCAATCTCTGGGAGTTAGAGAACTCACCTGGGAGTTGCTTTGCTCAAAATAAATCTGTTTTTTACTTTTTCAATTCTGCTTGATCTAGCTTACTGCATCAGCAGAGAAAACTACTATGGAGGTACAGAAAACCTATTAGAAACCACAATTTGGTTCCTGAGGGGCACCTGACAGGATTACAGTTCATAACATACAAGTCTAAGCCACAGGGATACAGGCAGGCAGAAAGCCGTCACTCATTATAGTCTAAGTCACAGCAATGCAGGTAGGAAGGAAGGAAGCTTTCACTGGTAACAAAGTCAATCATCTTGTTTGTGAGGTTCTCAGAAAGTATCTGGAAGAGGAGGCCCTGCCCAAGGTCATATACAATCAGCCTTATGCCAGGCTCATTGGTATGTTAGCATCCTCATTAGAAAGGATTTCAGTGTTGTAAAAGGCCAGACACTGAGGAAGATCCTGAGGTTGTTCTTAGAGATGTCTGGTTTGGGGCTTCAACAAGGAATGTTGGTGTGGTGATTTGAAAGAGAATCTGCTTGCTGGGCTCAGGTACCTGAACACTTGGTCCGCAGTTGATGCTGATGGTGCCATCGTGTTGGCGGGGGGGGGGGGGGGGGGGGGGGGGGGGGGGGGGGGGGGGGGGGGGGGGGGGGCGGGGGCGGGGCAATAGGAGACATGGCCTTGATGGAGAAAGTTAGTCACTGGGGGTGGCCTTTGAGAGCTTAAAGGCTCACCCTATTTCCAGTTTGCTCTCTGTGCTTAGTACTTGCCGTTGAGAGTGTGAACCCTCAGCTTCCTGCTCCTGCCTCCCTGCCTGCTGCTTGCTGCTATGCCTCCACCGTAATGGACTCTTACCTCCCTGGAACCGTAAGCTCAGATAGACTGTGACTGCTCTGGTTGTGCAGCTTTGTCACAGCAGCAGAGAGAGTGCCTCACACAGCTGGGCAGCGGTAAAATGCATCCAGAACTCACTAGGAGAGTTCACACTGAAGACACGAGCTAGGGCCTCGTGTCTAGATGGTTTTTGAAGCTTCAGTATGAATGATAATTGTGGTATGAGAGTTTCAAGTGAGGACAGGGGGAAACGGAGACTAGACGTTCTGGGACAAATCTTCAGGGAAATTTGATGTCTCCGAAAGATGCTGAGTCAGAGATATCTAAGAAGAAGGCAGAGAGTGAAAAATCAAAGATGTGTAACTAACATAGGAGGTTGCAAGACATGGAAGTCATGGGAAGGAGGAAGTTTCAGGAAGTTGTCATCACTTGTGGGTACCACTGAGGAGCTCAAGCAAGATGATGAGCAGAAGATGTCATCTGACTTATGAAAGTACATGCCACTTGATGAGCCCCATGGAAGTTTTTGGTGGTGCTGGTAGCTGGGTGCCTGATTGAAAGTGAGTGAAGATGAGAAAATGGAGTGATTCCATAGCTTATTCCTGGTCTCTCTGGAAGGTGAGGCTGCTAGTTTTATTATCTCATTTCTCTGTGTGGTGCTTTGAAAGAAAATGACTCCAATATACTCTCAGGGAGTGGCATTATTGGAGGTGTGGCCTCGTTGGAGGAAGTGTGTCATCGGGGGTGGGCTTTGAGATCTTAGAAGTTCAAGCAGATCTAGTGTGTCTCATCTCTTTGCTGCCTGCAGATCCAGATGTAGAACTCTCAACTTCCTCTCCAGCACCATGTCTGCCTGCACACCACATGCTTCTTGCTGTGACAATTATGGACTGAAACTCTGAACCTGTAAGCCAGCTCCAGTTAAATGTTTCCTTTGTAAGAGTTACTCTGGTCATGGCATCTATTTACAGCATTAAAGTCTTAAGACATTCTGTAATATTATTTCCCTCTCTCTTGATGCCTCTGTGGAATTCTTTCTTTTCTTGTCAGCCACTAATAGTCTTTCTTATTAACTTGCAATGAACATAATTAAAAGGAGGTAAAAATAGTAAAGAATGTTAAAAGCCTTGAACTCTGAAAGTCAGCTTCCCTTAGGGACTATGTAGGAGTAATATGAAAAGAGAAAGAATGAAAATATGTGCAGTGGGACTTACGTAATTAATAATGATAAAAATAACAATGAGGCAAGATATTTTAAAAAAATGAGGACATCCTTACTAGTATGAGATGAAGTCAGCTCATATTAATATGATGTGGCTGCTATTATTCCCATCCTTCCAGGGTAGGAAATGGGCTCACGAGGAAGAAGTTGGGAAACATGTTGACATCATCTAGGTAAATGGTGATGGTGCTAAATTGTATACTCAGACAGCTCGAATCTAGTCTTGTCTTCATCACTAAAGAGGGATGTGCTTTACAAGGGCAACTGTGTTCAGGATAATGGAAATCAGAAATAATAAGTGACATGACATGTATTAAGTGTCACTTATGACATGTATTATGACAATGTATTATTTTGACATGTATTATGACAATGTATTATTGTATTGTGACAATGAATTTTGATAATGAGAGGGAAGATGAGCAGATATCCAGGTGGAAGTGGGTCTACCCAGTCCTTTCTGTAGCTACTGCCTTCCTTTGTTATTGACCTGTTTAGAGACCCATCCCCATGGAATCCTTCAGGAGAAAGTGGAAATGTTCACTGACTCTCTGAGAACCAACTGTGTTTGGACTGTTCATGGGACGGAAGGGAGAGCTTGGAGGGAGGTTCAGAATTGGCATCTCTGAGTAAAACAGATTGAGAGGAGTTTCCTTGTAAATGATTCTTTAAAGTTCTACCCTTTAATACTATCACAACACCAAGTTATTTCTGGAACATAAAAGAGGGAGAAAATACACCATATAGTTTAACTCCATCCTTGAGGTGTTGGTTGTAGGGTGATGGAGACAGGGGGGATCATTTGATACATTGTCACTGAAGAATTTTTCTGTTATTGGACAATGCCTAATAAAGTAATTATTATAATGTTCATTATATGACTTCACAGGTGGAACAGACTATTCTGAGGATGAATTGACTGAGATAGGAGATTGCTTGCTGTGCTGGCTAGTTTTATGTCAGTTTGACACAAGCTAGAGCTATCAGAGATGAAGGAGCCTCAGTTGAGAAGATGCCTCTGTAACACTGGACTGTAGACAAGCTTCTAGGGCATTTTCTTAATTAGTGATTGATGTGGGAGGCCTAGCACATTGTGGGTGGGGCCACCCCTGGGATGGTGGTCCTGGGTTCTATAAGAAAGCAGGTTAAACAGGCCAGTAAGCACCACCCCTCCACGGCCTCTGCATCAGCTTCTGCTTCTGGGTTCCTGCTCTGTTTGAGTTCTTGCCCTCACCATTTTTTATAATGAACTGTAGGTGAAATAATCACTTTCCTCCCTAAGTTACTTTGATCATGATTTTCAATCACAACCACAATAACCCTAGCCAAGACCTTGCTTTGGATATGGTTTGAGTTAATCCTCCAAGTGCTCATGACTTAAAAGTTTGGTTCTTGGTATAGCAATGCTAAGAAGGACTGGCAGATGGCAAGACTCACCACATTCTGCTTCCTGTGACCAATGTCTTCTCGATGTCACACAGCCAAGTGAACTCTGGCAGGCACTGTGTCCTGATGGAGGACATTAAATCCAAAACTGTGAGGTAAATAAGGCTCTATTCCTTATGGAAGACTCAGACCCTGTTAATTCATTATAGTGAAAGGAAATATAAGAATGGGGAGAAATTTATGTTTTTATGTCATGCTCAACTTTGACATGATTTGAAGAATTATTCTTTTTTTTTCTGGCATTCCATGTTAGGAATTAGATTATACTCAAATAAAAGTAATAGAATTCAGTTTCTTCATGTTAAAATTGGTATTGATGATGAGATATCTTACTTGGTAAGAGATGACTTGAAAGAAATATCATAGTCATCTTCAAATGCTTTACTCCATGGGAAAGAAAGAAAGACTAGTGGGCAGAAACTCTGAGAAGATGCACATCGCCTCATGAGTAAGCAAATTCTAATAGGTTTTCTGTAACACAATAATAGGTTTCTCGCCAATGGAGTAAACCAGGTCAAGCTGAATTGAAAAAGTAAAAGAACAGGTTTATTCAAGCAAAGCAACTCCCAGGTAAGTTTTCCAGTCCCAGAGATAGGTAGGAGAAGTCACATGCCTGAACTAAAGCAAGGGTTTATATAGCCTGTAGGCAAGGGGTGATGACGTATTCACCACAAGCTGGGTTTGTGCCCAAGTATGGTCAAAAACTGAATGCTTTAGGAAGGGACTTGGGCTGCTGACAACTTCAGAGCAGGAGCCACCATAGCCATCAAGAATGCAGAACTGGACTTTTTGATGCCTTTTCTTTGTTGGAGATTCTCTGAGAGCGTGGGGTTTGGAGAGAGATATAGGGCTTCTCAGATCGTGCTGGAGGGAGCTGGAGGTTCCAACCAAACAAATCCTTACAAAGATTTCTGAAGTTCCAAATAGGCTGCCTTGAGGAATCAGTAAGCTCTGCAGCTTTGGAGCTTGTCTCAGTCCATTCTCTGCTTCTCTAACAGAATGCTGGTAGTTTTAAGTGGCTGAGGTTGGTAGAGTGTTTGCCCAGCAAGCACAAAGCCTGGGTTCAATCCCCAGTACCACTTACCATTTGTGAGGTGGAGGCAGGCAGACCTGCTTCAGTGGGGTCCCAAAGAGGGGTGTGTAGAGACAGGGGATGGGTGTAAGGAGGTGAATCATTATGTCTGCCAGCATCATTTATTGAAAAAACAATAATACATTTTTTATTACACATAGAATTAAAGAGGAGAAAAGAGGCATGTGAGCTGAGGTGTGACTTGAGATCAGAGGTTGAGGAATCTACCATTGACCTTGACAACAGGCACTAGTCATATGTTAACGAAAGGGCCACAAGATCCTCTTGCCAGAGATAAGAAGATGACTGCTTTAACAAGCAGCAACTTTCTTCAAGCCCTGGAGGGAATGGAGGCCCTTATCCAAATGCCGGACCTTGGAGAAAGGATTCTTTCTGGAGACCAGACACTTGTTAATATTCTGATCCGCCCCTTGAAATCCCACCCCTTGGCACCACCCTCCATCCTGATGTTAAAGCTTCATTCTAAGGAAAAACTTCCTCTCCCTCTCCTCCACTTTTCCTCTCACGAGGTGTGCACCCTAGACCTCTCTCTCTCTCTCTCTCTCTCTCTCTCTCTCTCTCTCTCTCTCTCTCTCTCTCTCTTCTCTCTCTTTCCTATCATCTCTTTCCTTCATATGGTGTGAGTCCTTCCCATCGTTTTTAAAATACGACGTTGGTTCCCTGACTGAGAAGGCTTTCTTGGCAGTCTGAAATGTGCTGGGACGCTGGAACCTAGTCCCCCAGGACCAGCCATACTTTTCCACCTAATGGATCGGATTGCTGGGACTTTCCATTCAACACTGACAAATGGTAAGCCCCCCACTTCTGGCCATTTCCCACTAATGAGGCTTTGTTTCTTAAGCACAGTCCTCATCTTCTGGCTTTTCTCGAAGTCCTGGTAGCAGGCGACAGTGTCTCACTCGGGCTCCTAGCCCATCAGCCCCTGCTTTTTTGGATGACAGTCCACTGAAGCAGCTTGTGTCTTCTCGTTGGTCCTCACTGAATCTAGAGATTCCAGCCCTTGGATATCCTGTAACTCAATGATGGAAAATGCACCTACCTCTATATCTAGCATCTGATTTAAGGGCTTAACTTCTCCACCCTTGCGGTCAGACTTGGCCCCATAAAATGGCCGCTGTCCAGCACCCTATATTCATAGGAACTTCGTAACTTCTGCCAGCGATTCCATAGATAGAAAGGGATGCCTGGCTTTCAAGCTTTCTCTTCTCAAGTCCCTACTCCAATGTAGCCTTTCATTTTTTCACTCTGCTCTCCCACTCTCTCAGACCTTTAGCACTAACTCTGTTGTATGTGGTGTGTTTTTTTAGTGGCGTACCGTGGCGGGCCCACCAAAGGTACCCACTTCATGCTAGGATCCTACCCGCCTGCTCCACCCGCAGCAGATCTGCTCTTTAACCCGCAACAGATCTGATTTCTGATCCACTCTCTTCCACTTGTAATAAATCTGCTTTCTCATTCACCAAGAGCTTTGCCCTCCATTCAATACCTAGAATTGGGTCTCTGGTGAGTCCACCTGCCTCTGACCATTCCCCTAGATGTAAGGCTTCATTTCTCAAGCACAGTCCTCTCCTCGCCTTCTGGCTTTCTTAAAGTCGTGGTACCAGGTGACTGTGTCTCTCTTGGGCTCTTATCCCTCAGCTCCTGTTTTTGCGTGACCATGCACTGAACAGCTTTTGCCCACTTCCTCAAGCTACTGGCCCAGCTCTCGCACTTTGCTCGGTGGAACACTGAACAACTTGTGCTGTTCCCTCTGCCTCATCCTTGGGCACTGTGTCATACGCCTCCTTGCTCCTTGCTCTCTTTTGGAGACCCATTGACCATTCTTTGGACCAGGCAGTTGGGGAACTGAAAAAGAATTCTCTACTTTCTTCCCTTTTCTTTGCTCCAAGACCTGCTTGTGTCTGTCTGCTCTCTCTGTAAATGTTCTGTTTGCTGCAGTGTGTGAATCAGAGATGGAGAAGTTGGCCTTGTCTTGCACACACTGGTTCTCCCTTTCTATTTACTCAACTCCTGTTTAATTCTGTGTGTATGTGCATGTAACTATTAACAGCAGCCACGTGGCTCTCCTCCATCTTGGCTGGTGGCCTCATCATGATTTCTTGTGAACTCCAGGGAGTCGACTTGGATCTATCTGAATAGCATCTTGCTAGGTCCAAGCGAAGCCAGATGGTTCCACAGAGCCTGGACAGTGAAGTCAAACAGCCAGCTACCCCAGGACATGGCCAGCACCCTAGTTTTCTCAGGTCCCACAAAGATGATCGATGCCCCCCAGGCCAGCAGAAAGAACACAGCGCCCTCATTCCTGCCTCACCTGCTACCCTTTTCTAACTCCTCACCTTTTTATAACAAACAAAAGGGAGGAATGTGAGTATTTAGGCATCTGTACTGGCCTGCCCTTAGGGTTCTGACAGGATATACCTCAGCTGCAGTCACTAAGAGCACCCTCTGTGCACATTTGCTATGTTTCCTTATAAAAGGTGGGCCTTGTACACCTCCCATCTCTCTCTCCTTTCTCTTTCCCTTCCTCATCCCCAGGGACTGGTCCCTGCCCCCTTCTCTGCCCCTTCTCTCTCCCCTTCCCTCGATAAACCTCCAATATGGGCCCTGCTGTATGGTGTGACTCCTTCCTAACATTTTTAATGTACAACATTGCCATGTGGATGCAGCATCTGGGTTGTGAATTACTGGCTGCCACTGCCGCCACCATGCCCACATGGTGTGCATTTGCGCAGCCCGCAACTGCATTTGCCCAGCATGTTTCCCTGCATGTATGCAGGATACTCTCGGGGTACACCTTAGCAATAATTCATAACATTGGTGCCCAATGTCACCAGGCAATCCCACTGCTTTCTCCTGCCCGCCAGCAATCTGAGGAGTTCTGGGATCTTTTACTACCTACCATTTTTCAGGCTAGAGTACTGCCAGGGACTCTTCACTCTATCTGATTGGTAAGATTCCTCCTTTCCCTTCTGGCCATTTTCCCATAAGTGAGGACTCATCTCGTTGCACTTACTGGTACCACATGTCTTTTAGGCTCTAGGCTCCTTAGCCCCCATCTCTATGTGATGGCATATGGAAACAACTTGTGCTCACTCAATTCCAGGGCCCATAGTCTTTGTTATGATGCTCCACTGGCTATCTTGTGCCATTCATTAGTCCTTGCTGACTATGGGATGCTAAAGGTCAGATTTGTCTTGTTTCGCTTGCTGGGACCACATGTCTTTGGGGCTCGTGGCCCTTCGGACCCCTGTCCCCATGCAGCAGCATATGGAGACAGCCGGTGCCCTCTCGATTCAAGCCTTTGTAACAGTGGTCCATTGGTCATCTTGCACTATTATCATTAGCCCTAGCTGACCCTTTGGGATGCTAGAGGTCAGTCCTTTGGGCCTTATACCTCATTATGGAAAAATGCACCTATGACCCCGCCCCCACCACTGCTGCCAACCCATGGCTTGGGCTCATTCCCCTGCAGCTGCTCGTACCATGCTGTAGCCCAGGAGTTCCTTCTGTCCTGACCAGCTGCTCTGCTACTTCTCCATCTTTCTTTCACAAAGTCTATTTCCTATGTATGAATGGAAAGGTATGATTGATGTGGCCATCTATATTTCTTTCTGACTGACCTTTAAATGTTTCAATTTATCTGTTCCTTGTCTGCTCAGTTTATTAAAAAAAAAAAAACCACATGAACACATGGTCAGTCACCATATTTGATAGGGGCAATCACGTAATCAGGCAGTGACATCTTAAATAAGGGCAACCACATGGTCTAGCTGCTAAGATCAAAACAGGCAGGTCAGATGACCTCACCACCATCTTTACTAAGGGCAGCATGGGTGGGGCACCCGGCACTCAGGATGTTGGTATGGAGAGAGGTTAGGGAATCGCCTCCTGCTGCGCATTGTTTCACCAGCCAAGGAAAAGTCCTCTGGCCTTGGCCTGGCATTCCCCAGCTGCCTCTCTTAGGCTCCAGCTGTCTGGGCAGGGCAGAGGTCCAGTCATGATCTGGCCTTTATTCCTATGCAGCCGCTCATGTAGGCAGGGCCCAGAGACATATGCGCTCCCCTCTGGGGCATCAATGAAACCACATGCAGGTGGTATCATTATGTTAAGATTTTAAATTTCAGATTTTAATATTAATACAATGCTGATACATTCTGAGTCACAAGCTCAGGATTTTAAATTTTCCTTGGTTACTCATTACCTCTTTTTTTACAATTTGGATTTCAGTACTGATTGATAATACTAATCTATCTAAAACTTTTATTTTTTCCTCACTTGTCTATTCCTGAGGATAGTATTTCTGTCCCTCCTGATCTTCCTTTCCCAATCACTAAGACCAAGGGCCAAAGGGTTCCAAATAAATTCATACATTTTAACTCTCATCTCTAGTCTGTATTTCAGCAGGCTGGCAGAAACATCAAAGCAGCAGTTGTGGACCACAACCTGCAACGTTTTCCCTGCTACGGATGTCAGCCCAGCCAAACGTAATTGTTCCCTGCTTCTACAGGCAGGTCAGACAACCAAATGCTTCTGATAAATGCCCCATTGCCCAGCCTTTGACTGGCCTTTCAGCATTCTGGGGGGCCCTGACAACCATATCCAATGCTAGCTCAAAGCAGTTCCAGAAGAAAATACATCGTCCCATGTCCCCTGTCCAGAATAGGCTGAAATGCTGGGTCAAAAGGAAACCTCCTGGCATAGAGGACCAATTAGCTATCTAATGCCCATTGATGTTTGTTAATTAAAATGGTTCTGCCCTAAGTTAAACACTTGACCTTTATGCAGAACCAGGGAGGTATTAAATAACATTAAGAAATTATTATTTGTATATAAATCAATCAGGATGAAGTTTCTGGTCCACCAAGAGGGTCCTTTTTCTCTTCTCAGAGGGTCCTTTTCTCAGAGTTGGGCTGCACCCTGACTCACAAGCCCCTTTTCTCCTGTTCTCATTCAGCCTTGGGATCTTTTCCCCTGTCACTCTTCTTTGCCTTCTCAGGAGACAGAAACCCTAGCCTCATGGAAGCTGCTAAGATATGGGAGACTTAGGGAATAGCAGTCAACAGTCAGCCTAATAGACAGGCAGTCCTCAAATGCTGAGAGATCTGCATTTAAAATGTTAATCAAAAAAAGCTTATTATATCAGACAGAGACTCCCAGATATAACAGTAACCCAAGGTCTCTGAAGAAGATGTCTCCATGTGGATGATGGCAACATTGACCTCTGGGCAAGTTTCCCAAATGTGACACCTGCCACCAGGACCCAACCCAGACTGTGGACAAACAGCAGGACATCGGGAATTGATTGCACCCCTTTTGCCTAGATAAAATAAGCTCAGTCTCCCGTGTGTCCCTCTTCCCCAGGAAAAACTCCCACCTCATAGTCCTGATGGGTCAAAGATTGGTGCTGTTCTGATACTTCCCTAGAGACCTGCGTATGGCTAACTGGGTATGGACTGGTCCCTGTCCTTTTTAACAAATTTGAAAGCTGCTTGGTCTGCACTCAAATATGATTTTTCCTTCTCAGATCTCTGATTCCATTTGATGACCAGGGTTTGCTTCAACTGCTTTCTTGGTTCTCTATATAAAATTCACAGGTCCCCTTCTCCTAGGGCTACTACTAGGTCTAGACATAATTTACCTTGTTACCAGATCAGATAAACTCACAGAACACATTTTAATGTAACTTTTTACTATTGACTGCTCTCCGTATATCCTGGTTTGTTTACATGAAGATAGGAAATCTGACTCACTTCTTAAATTTATCCTTCTCATATCTGATGATGTTTGATGACTAGGGTATCACTTTAACAGCCCCAATTCCAAGATTTTATATATATATTCCAATTACAGAATTGGAAGTCTCATTCATAGACTTCATGGAACAGGATAGACCAGTTTCAGACATAACTCCAGAGGTTCAAAGTTTTAATACTGATAAGCTGATTAAACTTTGATAAACTGATAGAACATTGACTACAAAGAGTTCTTAAGAGTCCTTAAATGGATTTTTAGCCCTTTTGCCATGATGTAAATCCATTCCAGCTGTCTTACAGATACCTACAGGCTCCTGGGAAAAGTTTTGCTACTGCATCAAAAAATGGATCTGATAAAAATTATCAATCTCCAGAGCCCATTTCTGACCCTACCTATTTTTCAAGCATATTTTGCAGATTCATTGTTATTGCCTGACCTCCAGAGAAACAACAGATGCCATGGCTTCTATACTCCTGATTTGGCATGCCATTTCCCCCCAAGCTCCTGGAACACCACTGCTGCAACCTGCCTCCTCGGCTCCCTCAAGGAACGGTCCTGAGATCTGCTGTGCATGACTCCCCCCAGTTCCCCCCTCCCCACTTTGCCCTTGTCAGCTTGAAGTAGCCTCGAGAATTCAGCGCCCTTGTTCCCTCACTTGCTCCCATAACTCACCTCTTTTTATAATAATCAAAACGGAGGAATGCTAATATTCTGACCCACCCCTTGAAATCCCACCCACTTGGTGCCTCCTGTGTCCTGACATAAGAGCCTCCTTCTAAGGAAAAGCTGCTCCCCTTCCCGTCACTTCTCCTCCCATGAGGTGAGCACCCTTGACCTCTCTCTTCTCTCTCTTTCCTATTTTTCTCTTCATCTCTCTATTATAATAAACTCTCCATGTGGATACAGCATCTGGGTTGTGAATTACTGACTGTTGCTGCCATGCCTGCTGGTCTGCATCTGCCCAGCATGTTTTCCTGCACATGCAGGATACCCTAGGGGGTCTCCCAGCACAATAATTCATAACAACTACACTACAGTGTCTTAGTCTTACTATGGGCCTGTTCCCCTCATAATGCTCCTAAAAGGGAAGGTCTCAATGTTTTATTCTTTTCACATTATACTGCACCATTCTGACTTCTCTGTATTTATTAACTGAACTCTCGCCCTTAATAGCCTCAGGCTCTGTATCTGAATTCCAGGCGTTTCATCCTTGGGATCAGGTGTGTCTAGTAAATCTCTAATATTCCTGTTCCTGATATAATTAGGAGAGCACAATGGAATTCCTGGTTCCATGGTGGCGGGGATTTTTTCCAAAGAATTACTTTGTTTAAAGAGGCTACCATTGTATACAGTTTCATCCTTTACCAAAGCCTGCACAAAATTTCCCAAAGGGAATGGCATTAATAGTGAGAATCATTAAAAATGAAGTTAAAAGATACTGGAGAAGAGTGGTCCTCAATGTCAAAATGCTGGAACTTTGCCAAGCAGTAATCATTGCCATGTGGCCCACGCCACTATACAGAAAAGAAATGCATTCTTTAATTTCTGAGGGCTCAGGAGTCTAACTCTGAAGCACCAGTGTCTGGTAAGACCTTCATGCTGCAGCATCCCAGGGTAGCAGGCAGGACAAGCAAACCTATGAGACAGATAGGTCTTTTATTAGGAACCCTTTCTGGGAAAACAAGCTCACCCTGAACAGCATCATTCCATTCATCAGGGCTTTAAGAAGTAAGCACTTCTTAAGCAGTTTACCCCTTAATAACCTCACAAGGGGGTATTTAGGACGTAGCAGAGATGTCCAAGCTAAGTGAGCACACTGTGTGGTTGGGCAGCTCACTCCTGCAGGATCCAGAAAGCCCCATTCCTGTCTCTCTCCAAACCCTGCTTTGCAAAGGGAAGACTCCAAAAAGCCCAGTTCCTCATCCTGGCAGCTACTGCAGCCCCTCCCCTGAGTTGCTGGCCTCCAAGTCCCCACCTAAGTTCTCAGCTTTTGACAATACTTGGGCACAAACCCAGATGGTGGTGTACATGTCATCACATCTGGCCAACAGCCTATAAAATCTCTCTGCTTACATGTGTGGGAGCCACTTCTCCTGCCTCAGTCTCTGGGACTGGAGAACCTGCCCAGAAGTTGCTTTTTCAGTTTGGTTTGATCTGGCTTACTGCATCAGTGAAGAAACCTATGGAGAGCAGGGGGCAGAAAATCTATTATCTTGATGCTGAGACCTGGGAGGAGTTGAGCCTTCCTGGGAGGTGGACTGGGTCCTCCCACCCCCGGGGGGCACTCCTTTCCCTTTATCTTTCTCTCCACCAGAAGTGATCAACTTTCATCTTGGGGTAAGTCACTTGGTCACTTGTTTCCTAGCCACCACCTGAGGAAGTGTCAGTTACCTCTTCCAAGTTCAGGACTCTCAGGATCCTTTGCCAAGCGGCGGCCACACCAGGGTAAGTCCAGTCTGTTCTGGAGGGACAGTCTCTGTTCTGGGATGCCCCTAGGTTTGGAGGCATTCTTCTCAAGAGGTTACCCCGCCCCCACTGTTTGACTCCGGGCTATCATGTGGGATGCCTCAACCTAGTCTTTGATCTCAAGCACAGGCTTGGAAATGGGCAACCCCAGGTCTAAACCTGATCCCCAGTCACCCCTGGGGTATCTGGTGTGAAATTTTCTCAAATGGGGGCTGTCTCCCACCATATGCCTAAAATAAATGTTTTGAGCTCTCCTGTGTCCAGGGTTTCTTAGCTCTGCACTCCCGCCCCTCTCCCTCTGTAGCCAGTGCTCAGTGACCCAGGTGTTGTTGCCCAGGGTTGTGGTGGCTCCGGGGGCCTTTTCATCCAGGGACTGACCCTGAGCCCGCCACCCCAACTGAGCCACCAGGATCAGGAGTCAATGGAACCCCTACCTGTCATCGTTCTCTTCTCTCTTCCCTGTTCTGTCTGTCTGTCTGTCTACCTGGCTCTCTCAGGTCCCTCCTCCAGCACACACTCTCACTCTCCTCGTGCCCCAGTAAACCTCTTGTCCTAACTCCGTTGCACGTGGTGTGTTCTCTTAGTGGTGTATCTTACCAGGGCCCACTGAAAAGGCGCCCATTTCACCTTTTTTTTTTTTTTTTTAATTTATTTATTATTGTATACCGCATGTCAGATCTCATTAGAGATGGTTGTGGGCCACCATGTGGTTGCTGGGAATTGAACTCAGGACCTCTGGAAGAGCAGCCAGTGCTCTTAACCGCTGAGCCATCTCTCCAACCCCATTTCACCTTTTTTTATCTTGTTATTGGTGCCAAAGACTCACTAGGCTCTTCTGCTGTTTGGTCTGGTCATGCTGGGATCCTGCCCACCTGCTCCACTCACAACAGATGCGCTCTCTTTGTTTATTTCTGTCTGCTCTGTAATGATACAGCGTGTGGGAGGCCTTGGTGGATTTTGGACCAAGGTGCCCCACAGCAGGTAAGACATGCCATACAGGCACAGCAGACAGTGGACAGTTACTCCATGGTAGAGCCGATATCCACATGGCAAGTTTATTTTGAGGTTTGAGATGGGCAGCAGGAATGGAAGGAGGAGAGAGAGAGGGGGAGAGAGAGATGCATGCTCCCTCTGGTGAGAGGGGGGATAGACAGACAGACAGATAGATAGGAGGAGGAATTTTTCTTAAAGGGAACATAGGATGGCATCAGGATGCTGGGCGGGTCCCCAAGGGATGGGTCAGAATACTAACATGCTCTCCTACCATAAACTGTGTAAAATCCTGTTCATACATTTGTTACAATGTGGGAGTCAGAGCCAGAGAGGCTGCTTCATGCCCAGCACATGCCTGTTCTCCTTTATACCATCCACTGCTCTAACCCTCGATAAAGTATGTGTGGATCATTTGTCTGTAGATTTTATTCCCAGTTCTAGAGTCCAGTTCTTCAACTGCTGCTCCCGCTGCCCTGCATTACCGTGCACATGGACACATGTGTGCTTGTCTGGCTCCTGCAGCCTTCTGCACCCACATGGACATCTCCTTTCCTGCTCTCTCCACTCCCCCAGCAGCTGGGAGATCCACAGCTTAAGCTCTAGGTCACTGTATTCCACATGGCTCTGGCTCTGGCTCTTTGGCCTACTGACCCACATGGACACCTCCCTTTTCTTCTCCCTTCTGCTTTTCTCTTGCCTTGCAGCCAGCCGGACCACCCCCACAGTGTTCCGCTTTGATACCCTCTCTCTCCTCCATGGACTCACATTTTATCTTATCAGCTTGGCCCAAATACAAATCAGTGGCCCAAACTGATGAACTTGGTTTCCAAATTCTCACAAATTGTTAACTACTACTGCTGCAAACAAATGATCTCCAAACACCTTATACCTAGAGTTGCTCTGCTACACTTCCAAAGTCCCTGATCTCTAAGGCTCTACCCTCTCACTCCTAAAAATCTTTTATTCCCATGGTTTCTTTACATGCTGCTCTATATCTTAAGATTATACTGTAAACTCTTATCTCAGGATTTGAAAGTTGCTATCTGGTGTGGTTTAAAAATCTATATAATTTGTAACAAAGTTTGTTTCCCCGTGCAAAGTTTTGTCTTGCTGTTAGAAAAGTTTTGTATGTATAGATGGGGTCTGTGCCTGTACATCTTCTTGTGGACATGGATCCACACAAAATTGTGTCAGGCTCAATTAAATGTATAAACATATGTGGCTACTGCATGTTTGTTTCTGACTGGTCTTGAGTGTGTGACTTTACTTTGTTCCACGTGTTCTGTTGATAGTTCAGCTGCTACTGTTACAACTAGATGCCTGGGCTCATAATTTGCCTCTGGACTTTCTGGCCACTGAATCTGATGTAATGACAGAGATTCATATGTCATTTGGGTATAAATAATATTAAAGTTGTTTTATGCTGTTCTACTTTATTAAAAATATATATAAGGGAATCCCAACTTTTATGGTTAAAAACCTATAATGAAAAGTTAACTTAAAACTTGTAACTCTAAATTGGAGCTGTTATGAGAAACAGCACATGATTTCCTACCATCTGAACTAAACTAAGCGCAGCCATATGGGCAGTTGCCATTTTGACTAGGGTTAGGGAAGAGGGAGGTCATGTGACTTCACCACCATCTTGATTAAATAGCTTCTCCACTTTAACAGCTCTCCCCTACCCCAAGGCTACAACAACTTTAGTAATTCATTAGTTAGTTCATTACTTAAGTTTCTTGTTAAAAAATACTGACAGATTTGCCTTGTTCACAGGTTTCATAGTGAAGGATAAACAGGTTTCAGATATAACTTTCCACTAAAGGAATACAGAAAATGAGTAAAATGTATAAATCCAAGTTATAAAGGTATAATGAGTGAATGATTATGATTTAAGGTGTATAAAGATGTTTTGAACTTCTGTCCCCTTCCTATGCTATTATTACACTGGGAATTTTGAGGTTCAGAGTTTCAGCATGGATGAATGGAGTTCTGATAGAGCACTGAGTACTTACTATTCAGTCACAAGCTCAAGATTTTTTTTCTTATTATTATTATTAAGAAATTTTCTATTCATCTTACATACCAACCACAGATTTCTCCCCTTCCTCCCCCTGATTCCCATCCCTCCGCCCTTCCCACCCCCTATTCCCTTCTCCTCCATGGGGAGTCAGCAGAGCCTGGCATATTCAGTTGAGGCAGGTCCAAGCCCCTACCCCCTGCACCAAGGCTGTGTAAGGTGTCACACCTTACGCACTGGGCTCCAAAAAGCCTGCTCATGCACCAGGGACGGATCCTGATCCCCCTTCCTGGAGGCCCCCTAAACAGTTCAAGCTAAACAACTGACTCATCTATCCAGAGGTCCTAGTCCAGTCCCCTGGGGCTTCACAGCTATTGGTCCACAGTTCATGGGTCTCCACTAGTTTGGCTGGTCATCTCTGTATGTTTT